CCATTAGGTTGCGGCTCTCAGGGTTTCTGGACATGTTANGTCGACGGGCGCTTCCCGCCAAATTGAGAAAAACCGTTACAATTCTGCGCAACGTGATTGGCTCCCGCGCAGGAATAACGGTTTCGTTACGTCATCGAGCATATAAAAAGGCCCTGAAAAAAGGGTACAACGTTCATTCCGCGCTGACCACAACCCCGTGAGGTTGTGCATCGTAACTTAGCTTTCTACGAAAGTTTCGAACTCCAAGTTCGGACTGAGCTATTTTGCCGTGAGCAATTTATTTGATTTAAGCTTTTGCATCGCATTAAACCCCGTGAGGTTTTTCGCATGTAATTGCTGCATGCGCTACGTAATTTACACAGCCTAAATTCTCGCATTTTTCTAAATTACTCGCCACCGAGGTCGCGGTAATTCTTAATTAACTTCATTTCGCTTATTGATATACAGGGTGTACTCCAAGAGTCAGTTGCCTGGGCACCAACCCACAATTGACTCAAAATAAGAATTCGTAGACTTGTCTACCGTCGAGACGCGTAATTTTCATTACCAGTCTATAAACAACAACAACCGCAAAGAATTCGAAGTCTGCAATTTTTATTGCGGACTCTAAACTTTTCCGCCGTGGCAATCGCGTGCCTCTACGAGGGAAAAATCATCAGTGGAGCTAATTGACCGTTGCCGAGCGCCTGCAAGGGTATACGGTCTCTTTGCCCCTACAGAAGCTAGAACAGGAGCAACACATCGAGAGGCTTTGCACTGAGTTCGACGCCGGCGTCAACTCTAAGCCCTAGAAGCACCAAGACAGAACCAGCGTTCTAACGACAGGGCGTGACAGTAAATCGCCCTCGAGGAAGCGACTAGGCCCAAGCTAGAAAAAGACGACCATCGGTCACCCGTGAATATCGCTTCGTGCTCGACTGGCACGTCGTAAATCGGGCTTACGTGCGGCCAGTTTCCGGAAACTGATGAGGTGGTGAAGATTCGCGCTCGCGTTTCGCGTTAGGGACTTTGCTGTGCGCACCACCGGCACAGGGAGGTCCTTAAGGAAGCAGGGAGAGGGTTTCTGAGCAAATTCCACCAAAATTTCAACTATGGACAAGGAGCATCGAAGAAATGGCGCCCAACGTGTAGGGGCCTCGCACGATCCTGCTACAAGCTACCCCAGATGGCGGGATATGCTAGAAAGTAGCTGGACGGCGAAGATGTCTGGAAGGACATCAACCCCCGACACCACCCACCTAAAAGACATAGAGCGCGGAGTCCTGACCTGGAGGACTCTGGACGCCACAGGACCCGGCGAGGTACCTGTCGCGGCACCGCGACGCTCAACGACGCCGCGCCACCAGGAGCGCACGCAGGAAGTCACCGCTGATGTCGAGCAGCGGCTAGCCACTCGCGCAATGCTGTTAGCCATAACGGCGTTGACCGAGAGGACAGAGGCCCTGCAAAGGCAACAGTTCCCGGTGAAACCCGAATTCGAGTTTCACGGCAGGGAAGACGAAGATCCAGAGGCGTACCTGCGAAAGCTTGAACGCCACTTCGAGGACTACGACGTGGAGGTCGAGCACCGGATGCGAGCAGTGCGTAGCACCATGCACGGGTCGGCCAAACGTTGGTTAGCAAGACAACCGGTGGGCGTCACCTACGAGACGTTCGTCCGGAAGTTCGAGGAAGAATTCAACGGTGTGGCAACGCTTTGCGACCTCACCCGGAAATTGTACGGGGAAGTACAAGGATCGAGTGAGAGCGTCCTAGCTTTTGTCACCGTGAAAGTCGCCCTGTTCGAGCGACTGGCACCCGTGACGCCGGAGGCGGCGCGCGTCCGGATCGTGATCGAACAGCTACGATGGAACCTCCGCACATACGCGCGATTAGGTCATTTCGGCACGACCGAAGAACTAATGCGCGTAATGTCGCAGATAGAGGACGACATGGTAGAACCAACACCTCAAGCTTCCGGTGGACCTAGGCCGGCACCACGCGTCCTTGCGCGAGAGCAACAGCCTCCGCGGGGACCGCCACGGCACTCAGGCCGTGACGCACCCACACCGACGCCGAGACAGCAACACCAGGACCCAAGAAACGGGCCGCCGCAGCGACAGTTCCGCCAGGAGGGACCGCCGCCGCCACAGCGTTACAACAATAACGGACCGCCGCCGCGACGCGACGACTGGCGCCAGAGGCAGCAGGAGGAACGCCCGAGGTCACCACCTCGAGGGCGACCTCCGCCGAACCAGCCTACGAGGGAGGCCCCCAGGCCACCTCCAGGACCGCCACGTCCCAGCCCGCGGCAGCGCGTCGACGACGACGAGCCTCGCCGATACCAGGGAAACGCCCCGGGGGTCGTGACACAGGCCCAGCCACGACCCGGGCCCCCACGACAATAAATCCGACTACAAATGTCGAAGAATGCGCGTATTTCGGGCTGGAGCAACCGGAATACGTCGAAGACGAGCTCCACCAGGATATGACAGAACGACGACCAGCCGCCTCGACGAGGGAGGCCGGAGAAGAACATGAGACAGGAAAACTCAGGGACATGGGTACGAGCCCCACGCTTCAGGAGGAACCTGCACAAGAAACGCAGCCACCGAGGGACCTAGAGGACGACGTCAGCGAGCGCGAATCTCTAGAAAACAAAAGAGTTAACACGATTCGTGGAAATGCGGAGGCACCCCGGCTAACTTTACAGTTAGGAAGCCGGAGGATCACCGCCCTAATGGATTCTGGGGTAGGCGTTAACCTTTTGCGGACAGAATTCGCTGCGGACAGACGGAATGGAAATGGACCTCGAGTGCAACTAGCTAGCCAAGGAGCCAACGTAGAGACCAGCGGGACCACGGATGTGGAATTCACGCTGGACGGGGCGACCCTCTCTACTGAAATGCTCCTGGTCGACGACCTTTGCGAGGAATGCATACTGGGTCGACCATGGTTACTAGAGCACCACGTCGTAATGGACTTCTCCCAGGGGATGATCTATTATGGACGCGAACGACGCCGCTGCGTGTATTGGAATGGGACGCCTCTCGAAGTAAACAACGAACAGCGAGAAGAAATATGGGAGATACTATGCGAGAAGATTCCGCCTAGTTTCGAAGAAGAGTGCCAAGAGGTTTTAGGCGAGTACATGGATGTGTTCTCGATCGAACCTAGACCGGCGTCGACGAAGCTGGCGGAACATCGCATAGTACTACGCGACGACGACCCCGTAAATACGCCACAATACAGACGTTCGGAGGAGAAGAAACGCATAATAAACAAGGCCTGCGAAGAGATGTTGCAACAGGGGGTGATACGACGAAGTACTTCAGAGTACAATTCACCGGCCCTCCTTGTGAAGAAGAAGGATGATAGCCAGCGCTACTGTGTGGATTACCGTAAGCTCAACGAAAAGGCACTCGTCGCAACAGGAACACTACCCCCAATAGACGACATGCTTAAGGAACTAGGTGAAGCACAGTACTTCACAACCCTAGACCTTAAGGCAGGTTATTGGCAGGTATCCGTTCACGAGGAGTCTAAGCGATAACGGCATTCACAACACCAGACGGCGGCAGCTACGAGTTCAACGTCATGCCCTTCGGGTTATCTGGAGCCCCAGGTACCTTTCAGAAGCTCATGACGGAAGTACTGCGAGGCCAATTACATCGTTTCGTGAAGGTGTACCTAGACGACATCATCATCTATAGTAAGACGCCGCAGGAGCACGTAGAACACCTCAGACTGGTGTTCGAACGCCTCCGACAACACGGACTGTGCGTCTCACCTGAGAAGTGCAGTTTCGCCGCGACGCATATAGAGTACCTAGGGCACATCGTCACCAAGGACCACAATCTGCCACAAGAACGGCACCTTACGCGTATACAAGAACACGCGCCGCCGAAAAACGTCAAGGAGTTGCGACAGTTCCTCGGGCTTGCCGGATGGTTACGTGAATACGTGCCGCGGTTCGCCTTACTGGCAGCTCCTCTGACAAATCTGTTAGATGCAAACCGACGGTTCCGCTGGACAGCTAGGGAGCAGGAGGCTTTTGACGAACTCAAGCTTGCTTTAGTTCACCACGAGCCCCTGCACAGGCCAAAAACCGGCCTGCCTTACTGCCTCCAGACCGACGCCAGCGCCGTAGGAATGGCCGCCGTGCTATTCCAGGAAAACGACGACGGCACCAGAAGATTGATTTCCTGCGCGTCATCGAAGTTCTCGAAAACCGAGTCGAGGTACCACGTGAACGAGCAAGAGGCCCTTGCGGTGATTTTCGGTATAAGGAAATATCGTCAACACCTGGAGGACCGCGAGTTCACCCTCTACACGGATAGTAGAGCACTTTGGCTAGACCGGTACAAAGACGAGAAAACGAAATTAACCCGGTGGGCCTTAATGTTACAAGGATACCGGTTTCGTATCGTCCACGTACCAGGTCGCGTAAACGAACTACCAAACTTTTTATCACGGAACCCCGAGGAGGAAGCGCGTGAAGAATGTCCACCCGAGATCGACGACAGGATGTACCCGGTCGTGAACCACGTCGAGGAAGACGCAGGCCGCGAACAAAATCCGCCGTTGGAACAAGAGGAGCCCCAGCGCGTCGAAGTCGACGTCCAGGTGCACGTGGAGGACGAGCCTGGAGGACAAGAGGAGGAACCAGCGCAACCACCGCCGAACCTTGGAGGGATACCCGCCGAAGACATGCCGCTGTTCGAGCGCGTTCAGCGAGCACAAGGCGAAGACGACCAGTGTCGTACAGACAGGGCTAGGCTGTACCGCATACAGCGCGATGGCCCCGAAACGGAGACGGAGCGTCGTATCGCCGTATCGCCGAGGCCTACATCTTCGAGCGAGGCTATATCTGGAGGAGATATGGCGATCGCCGCGAATTGTACGTACCAGGTACGATGCAAGAGGAAGTTGTAGAGGCCTACCACGACGCCGTACTCGCCGCACACCCAGGGCGAGACGAAACACTTCGGGCCATCCAGAGGTACTATGACTGGCGCGGCATGCGAGAAGCAGTCACAGACCACGCCAAAGCGTGCCTCGTATGCGCGTCAACTAAGGCCGGAAACGGACAGCCTAGGGCTCCGCTCCGACCTCGAGTCCCCACGGATGCGGCGCACACCTGGAGCTTCGTCGTTCTAGGGCCGTATCCGGAAACGAGACAAAAGAATAAATACGTTATAATCGCTGTGGATATCTTCAGCAAATGGGTGGAGGCCATCGCCGTACCGCGAGTACGCCACCAGGAGATGCGAGCCTTCGTCCAAGACATTTGCACGAAATGGGGGTATCCACAAGCGTGCATAACAGACAACGGAGGAGTTTTCCGCGGAGGACAGTGGCTGAGGTACCTGGAGGAGATGCAGATCACCCCGTATTACGCCGCAATCTACCACCAGCGGGCGAACCCAGTGGAGCGCCGGGTTCAGGAATTCAAAAAGGTGCTACGAACTAGACGTAACGCAGATCGTAGGTGGGACGCCTACATCAACGAAACGCTATTCGTACTCCGGAATAGAACCAACGCCTCCACGAGGATGACGCCCAGCGAGATCAAGACGGGAGGTTTGCTCAAACGCCCCGGCGAATGGATGATACCCCCGCAGGTCGCGCCACCCGCTCAACGCACGGTACAGGCCCGTAATGAACGGATGAGAAGAGCCAGGGACCGCCAGCAGATTTTTCAGCGGAACCTCTACCCCGAACCCCGAGAAGCACCGCTAGAATTCGCCGTCGGTGAGGAGGTCATGACACGTGTCTGGCCAGGGACAGATCCGCCGATCCGTTTTGCGCCAAGTGGACAGGACCACACCGCGTCGTGCGTCGAGAGGGAGAGACGACGTATACCGTCGAAAGGGACGGCGCGCATGCGCGCATCCATCTCGACGATCTACGTCCGGCACCGCGACGCGTCGCATAAACGAAAGGCCAAATTCANTATATATATATCTTAATAATGTCGTTCCATGTTATATCTCATGTTCGTGTTAAAGCCCACTCGACCACCGTACGGTAACTACTTATTCTTTTATTTTTTAGTTATAAATAGTAAATTGTAATGAAATTGCAGCTCGGGCCTGTGAGAAGAAAAACCAAGGCTGTAAATAATAGTTCATTACATTAAAAATAACAAACCAACAGGTACATCTTTTAAATCTAAGAGCTGCAACATGGTCGCTTCTTCGCCATTCTGCAGCAGATGTAGTCCGAGCGTCCGGGGAACCTAGAGAAGAGGCACTGAATGAGAAAAAATCTCAGTATGTGTACAAAAGGTGAAGTTAATTCTACATCAGCCTCTACTCCAAAGGGGTTGATTACCGCAATCTTATAGAGGCTGATGTAGAATTAACACGGGGTTGTTCGCCCTAGGGAGGAAGAGTATAGAAAATTGAAAGTAATGAAGATAAAGAACTAACGGTTACATACACCCGGAATACTGTGAAGCCGGAAGATAGAAAAAGTTTTTATCATGGCACGAGGAACATAAGACCACCGTGTTCGAAATGCAGCGCGACCTCGTCGAATATTGTATATCGAACGCGGAGATCCTAACGACCGCATGTCTCAAGTCCCAGGAACGGCTGATGGAAACGAGAAACGTCTGCCCGTATACGGAAGCTTGCACTATAGCCTCCGCGTGCAATAAGATGTGCAGGCGCAACTTCCTGCAACCAAACACCATCGGTATCATCCCCAAAGGCGGCTACAGATGGCGGGATAATCAGAGCAAGATTGCCATCCAGTGGTTAATGTGAGAGGAGAAGCAACGGAGCATAAACATACATCACGCCGCCAAAGACAAAGAAGTTCTAGTAACGGGCGTAAAAGTCGATGGCTACAGTGAGGAAACCAATCAGGTGCTTGAGTTCCACGGCTGTAACTACCACTCGTCCACACATAACACCGGCGACAAAAGTTCTATAATATAGCAGTGTGTATTTGTTGTAATTTCATTTAAGTGCGCGAGCCCGCGAACTAGGGTCCATTTCTTTTTAGAATGAATATAGGACCTTCCGCGAGCTTGCCGCGCGGCAAGGTTGAAAAGGGCGGGAACACAGAAACTAAGGGTAAGATATTTCAAATTAATTTGATCACCTTCTGTCTCTTAAAGGCCTTCGAGAAGTTGAAAATCTGGAGGCTATCGTCAGAAAACCAGCTAGCTGGAAAATTCGACGACGTAGTTTTAGAATGTAGCGAAGGGACTGTTTTAATACAAACAAAATATAAAAGAAATAAGAAAGTCGCCTTTGAAGAACTACTTGCTACCGACTCCAAAAACAACAACTTTAGTCTAACCAAGTATTTTCTGTCGTATCAAGAAGACAAGTCTAACTTTCGAGTAAATAATGTTATTATGTGTACCAATGCTTCTATCACGATAGATGGAGACAACCGGAAATTTTTAAACAGACAAATTGCCACTTCTGAGAGCATATTATACTGCCGAGGGCACGTCTGTTGGTTTTACACAAGTACACCTACCTGGCGCATTTCATGCTGTACACGTCTCTGGATAACCGTTCGTAAGCATTCACAAACCTGATATCAAATAATAATCCAATAAGTCAGTAAAGACAAGGAAGATTCACAATCAACATTCTCGGAAAGCTGTTTGAAGGAAAAATGATTTAAAANAACAAAATATAAAAGAAATAAGAAAGTCGCCTTTGAAGAACTACTTGCTACCGACTCCAAAAACAACAACTTTAGTCTAACCAAGTATTTTCTGTCGTATCAAGAAGACAAGTCTAACTTTCGAGTAAATAATGTTATTATGTGTACCAATGCTTCTATCACGATAGATGGAGACAACCGGAAATTTTTAAACAGACAAATTGCCACTTCTGAGAGCATATTATACTGCCGAGGGCACGTCTGTTGGTTTTACACAAGTACACCTACCTGGCGCATTTCATGCTGTACACGTCTCTGGATAACCGTTCGTAAGCATTCACAAACCTGATATCAAATAATAATCCAATAAGTCAGTAAAGACAAGGAAGATTCACAATCAACATTCTCGGAAAGCTGTTTGAAGGAAAAATGATTTAAAATCTCAACGGAGGATTGTTTTGTATAAACAATAAAGAAACAGATCGTTTTCCGCAAAGGCATTACCAATTTTGACCAAAAAGGCCAAACATTCTGTATAAGATCGCTATGGACGAACACAAGATGAAAATCAAAGGGAGCTAGCAAGGTGCTGCAAATTGCCACATTTTGAGGCCGACGAAGAGCGCAGTCATTTAGACAGTCGTGTAAGAAAGACTAAGCAACCATTACATCGGCGACAAAAAAATGAACGAGTGCAAAGTCAGGCTACCCATCGAACGCCAAAAAGATTTAAAATTTAAAAAATAAAGGCTCCATTCGTTGTGTATGTCGACTTTGGAGCGTTTTATCAAAAACGCAAATAGAACCTCTTGATATAAATACTCGCCTATTTCACTTCAACAGAAGAGGTGAGATAGAGCAATAGATAAGCCAGAAAAAAGTGAGCGGCTGATGCAAAGAACCTTTCAGACCAGCGTTTTCCGTACATTAGTAGGTATAGAGAATGGGAAAACTGAAATATACGCAAAATTGAGAGGACTGCCGCAATGGTTTGAATACAAAAGATTATTTTAGCGCCAAAACTCTGATTATAAAGATACACATACCTGCACTTCACACTATATACTTCATCTTCTAGTACAGCCTCCCATACGCCTAGACAGGAACTACCTGAAAATTTAATATAGTATTAGAAGAGAAAGGGTTAACGTTGTATGGTATTAATGCATGTCTTCTGCATGTCGCGCAATAAAGGTGTTTGCGTATATGTTTTCGGAATTCTTTTAAGGTAAAGACGCGATAGCAATAAGGGCGAACTTTAACAGTTTCCACACGAACCACACTCCATACTTGTGAGATAATAAAAAATTACGGGGAACATCTCTGCTAATCAAATCATGAGCCGTTCTACCACCACCTCCAAAAATTACTTGCAAAATAGATAATACTTCCGCAATGCGATATTAAAGCAATTTTTCAAAACCCATTATTCAAAAATGTACTACTGTAAGAGTGCAAAAGCGTGTTCTGTTTCTGCAAAAACCCTCGAGTAAGTATATGAATTTAAAAAATCGGTATAATCGAAGCTTTCGAACCGTTCTGATAAACAACTACGTTTGAAAAGAAGGCGCAAGGAGTGTCGGGATCACCAAAAATTTTAATACAGCACTCGCAGGAAGGCACCTCGATTGTGTATGAAAAGGCAGCAGCATCCGGGAGAAGATAAATCGTCCGCAATTCGAGTGTAGATAAAGACATAACCGTACAAAAAAAGAATAACATGATAATGAAATTACAGCCATTATCGAGGAACTGAAGGAGGCTCGTATAATATCTTAAGTCGTGACGTTACGTCACGTTTTACGTCACGTCGTCACGTTTTACGTCACGTCGTCACGTTTTACGTCACGTCGTCACGTTTTACGTCACGTTGTCACGTCACGTCGTCACGTTTTACGTCACGTCGTCACGTTTTACGTCACGTCGTCACGTTTTACGTCACGTCGTCACGTTTTACGTCACGTTTACGTCACGTTTTACGTCACGTTTACATCACATCACCACGTTTTACATCACGTTTTACGTCACGTCGTCACGTAAAATAAGGGTAACCGTCACGTAATTAAGGATAATAAAAAGGATAATAAAAAGGATAATAAAAGGATAATTTACGCGTGCATAGACATTTTTCGTCTGCCATTTAAAGAGTAAACATGTATACGTGTAACATCTGCTCTAAGGGTTTTGTATATAAAAGCGGACTTAGTCGCCACGCTAACAGGCATAAATCCACCGCTTTTCCCTGTGACACATGTGGAAAGAAATTTACAAGACAGGATAACCTAATCTCGCACAGGAAAAACAAACGTAATTACAGCGAACTAACCACAGACGACACGAACAGTAACTGCAATGACGAGGACAGTACTTGCAATAGAAAATATCTATATAGGCCTCTCAATGATGAACAAACAGATTATGAGAGTAGCGAAGATATGCTAGAAAGAGAGAGCGGATTTGACCTAAATGAACTTGTAAATGATTTACGTTATTATATCGAAGAGTGTGGTTTGACTAAAGAACATCAGCTCTGTAGCGACATTATCAACAAGGTACATGATATAGGAATAATTCAGTAACTTACCATGCACCTCCCATCATCGTCTTAACGTTAGGTCTTCAGAGAGTCATCAGACGCCTGCACCAGGTCTAGCGGTGTCTAGAGCTGTTCAGGCGCATGCGCTGTCTTCAGTGGCATCGAGCTGAGAAAAAAATAAATATTGTCATCACAGTGTCTGTAATCTTTCTTCATCTAACATTCAAAGTGTTCAGACGTGCTCAAAATGTTAAGTCTAAGAGATGTTTGCTTCGAGCAAATCCAAGACCAATACTGGTACGGTTTATATGGAGATTTTAAGATTATTGTGAACAAGGACACATGCTACTTTAACGCTACAAAGCTATGCCGGGATGGCGACCGAAGATTTGATAACTGGCTACGTAATAAAAGATCGAATGAACTTATGCGGTATTATGCATCGGAAAGTGATTCCTCGGATTCTCCAACGACATCCCCTGACCCCTCCTACACAGTAAAAGGCAATAAGAACCGCGTGTACAATACGATTATTTCTGGAACCTACTTACCCAAAGAGTTGTTCCTGGATATTGCTTGCTGGGTATCTCCGGAATTCTACATGAAATGCAGTAAAATAATTGAAGAATATTTCGTTAACGAATTCAAGACCAACTATCAACACGATAATGAAGCTGTAATGTCCAAGTTGCGCGAATTAAAAACCTGGAATGAGAAGTTGGAAAATTACGTAGAATATATAAGTTCAAAGGTCGTTAACCCGAACAAACGACACATGTTTATACAGAAAAGAGGTTTCCCGCA